CGGGGATCGTTGAGCCAGGAATTGATGAAGTGCTCAGTTATTGATGGATCTAAAACGGAAACACCCGTATCGCACCCTGGCCAACCAGTTAATGCCCACGTTTCCTGCCCTAGCAGTCCCTGCTGTGGCAGTCACGTGAAGTAAGCAAAGGATAGGAAGAGAAATCGAAGGTACAGAATAGGGAGTGCACTTAAATAAGAAAATAATACCAATACGTGAAGAGAAGTAGAGAAAAGAAACTCGAAGTACGAAGATGCGAGTTACTCAGGAAAATGGAAAGGTTTCGTGTTGCCACCCAAGAGCGTCAAGTTGCCGCTCAAACCCCTTAACCGTAGATTCCCTGATAACACTTTCCGGAAGCATGTTCCAGCGGTCGATAACTCGGCGTGACAGCCGGATTTCCGCCCTAATCCGATCGGACCGCGGTTTGTCCAGCTTCAACGAATGACCGCGTAGAACAGACAATCTAGCGGGACTGAATAGCCAAGACAAATCTGGACCAACCTTCCCAGTCAAGATACGGTAGGTTAGGATTAGGTCTCCTCTAAGCCTTCGGTAGTGCATTGAATGCATTCCCAAACTAAGTAGACGCTCGGGGTACGTCCGTCCCCGTAATCCCTCGACTAACCTAGTACCCACTCGTAAAACCCTCTCTAGCTCCATTTTGTCCCGGACGAGGCAGGGCGGACAAGCCTGGACGCAGTATTCCAGATGAGGGCGAACGAAAGCCGAGAACAGCCTCGTAAAGATGCCGCCCGTCAAGACTCCGAAAGAACGTCGGATTAACCACAACATGCGGAAACCTCTGCTTGCGGCCTTCTTCCAGTTGTCGCCGGAGTGTAACGCCGAAGAGTGTACGACGCCTAGGTCAACCTGGCTAGATACACGGGGGAGTTCGACCCCACCGACCAAGTACTTCGCAGGAGGACAACCTCCTCCAATTCGAAGAACGGAGCACTTTGCCTGATTTATGGGCAGTAACCATAAAGTAGACCAGTCCCAAAGCTTATCCAATGCTCGCTGAATAGCTTCGGAACCCCCAGGAACATCAACAATGTTCCACAGCTTCAGGTCATCAGCAAATAGCAGCGATGGTACCTCAAGCTCCGTGGGTAGGTCATTCACATAGATAGAGAACAACAGCGGTCCAAGGACCGAGCCCTGCGGCACGCCGCTGAGGACAGACTGCCTAAATGATAGACCCCGGCCTACCCGTACACATTGTTCTCTACCCTCCAAGAAGGCAGTCACCCAATGAAGGGCGCGGCCAGATACCCCGTAGGAGGACAGCTTTTGCGCGAGCCTCAAATGGGGTACCTTGTCAAATGCCTTCGAAAAGTCGACGAAAAGCACGTCCAGTGTGTGGCCGTTATCCACTGCATCCGCCCAATTTTCGCGAGCCACCAACAGATTCGTCAGACACGAAAATCCCTTCCGGAATCCGTGTTGTACATTGCTAAGTAGATTAAATCTACTCAGATGACTCTCCAATGAATCTCTCACCAGTTTCTCGAGGAGTTTGACTACTACACTCGTCAGACTAACTGGCCTGTAATTTGCAGGCAGACCCCTGTCCCCATGTTTAAAGATGGGACAGATGACAGCTTCCTTCCATTCGGAAGGCAATGCACAACTGTCAAGCGATTTCTGAAACACAATAGCGAGCGGTCCACTTAGTTCCGCAGCCAACTCATGCAACAGTTTCGGGTGAATTAAATCAGGCCCAGAGGCCTTAGAAGGGTTCAGCCCTTGTAACAGCCTACGAACTGCAGTCTCCGCTACAATAAATTCAGATAGTTCTGAACCCTCTGGGGTCCTGCAAACCAGCTCAACGCCTGTCAAAGAGGTTTCCCTTACAAACGCTGCCGCATATTGCCCACTGAGTACGCAGGCCTTGTCATAATCCGTATGCGCATGAGTACCGTCATCACGCATCAATACTGGAATTGACATGTTCGAAGCGCAGCGCCTTTTGACATAAGCGAAGAATCTTTTTGGATTCTCTGAAGCTTCGTCCGCTAACCCTTTTTCAAAATTGAGCCGAGCATCCCTTAGGTGTTGCTTACACCTATTTCTAGCTTTACGGTACCTGTCATAAGTATCGGTGGACGGAGCGTCTCGGTAAGTCCGCCAACATCTAGACCTCTTTGTGAGCAGATGCCTGCCAGTGGGATCTATCCAGGGCGGCTGTGCTCGGGCCTCCTTTCTCCTTGTGACTGGTATGAAGGGAGCAGAGACCTCTGTGAGGTAGGACTTAAATTTATCCCAGGCAACCTGGACAGTATCGTCGTCTGAGATCTCACAATGGAAACCAGAAGCCTTGGCTCTCATTGATTGATAGTCTGCTTGCCATATGTTCGGGCGAGACTCAACAGTACTCTGGTAGCGTCTAGACAGAGTACAATTGAAGAGCAAACAAACATGATCACTGGAACCCAGTGGAGGTCCGTAAGTAATGTCATCAACAAAATCGAGTGACTTAGCGAATACAAGGTCTAAGATAGACGGTACTTGGGCGTCCATGTACCTAGTGGGGAGGTCAATGAACTGGTGCAAAGATACTTGGAGCGTAAGTTCAAGCAGATCAGCGCCGAATGTGCCTGACGCTGAGTCGCAAGAAAGATCTGCCCAACAAATCTCTGGGAGGTTGAAGTCGCCCATCACCAAACACTTATTTGCGGACTGGGAGCGAATGAATTCAAGTACCTCTTTGGATACGCTCCCAGGGCTTCTATACACAATTACAACTGTAACCTGAGCCGAGGATGTGCTAATAACAGCCGATAGAGCTTCAACAGTTTTGTCTGCCGACTGAAATAAGCAAGTCTTCAAAACGTCAAGTTTACAGCTCACATAAAGAGCGACGCCCCCTCCCTGTCGGCCAGCAGAGCGATCGCATCTAAATAGTGCGTAGCCAGATAGATGTACTTCACCATCCGTGATGTCCTGAGACAGCCACGTTTCAGTGAATGCGAGTATATCGG